TGACAAATGTAAATACATAAGAATTGTGTGTTATATTTATATATAAATGCCCCAAATATCTAATATGAAAACCTCAATATTTATATTTATATGCTTGGGATGCATCCAAGTGAACAAAAAACATCACTTCCAAATGATAAACCAAAAATATACTAAATGCACATTTATTTGATCATTTAATATATCCATTTTTCTTTTTTCTTTTTTTTGCATCAATTGGCAAAACAAATAAGAAAATAAGAGAATTAAATTGTATAGCCAAAATTAAACAAATTTGTAAATGTGTAACTTTCTCCAATCAAAGGTTGAATAAACTACTTTTCAATCTAACTACTTTAACATGACAAAAAGTTCTTTTCAATTTCAAAGATGATTTCCCCAAATAAGCAAGCTTGATCAACTATATATTGTGCTATAAGAGCATTGCATCTAATTTTGATATAATCATAAATATAGCCAATTATGTAGCATAATGAATATCAAAAGAAACATAAAGATAAGAGATCAAAGTTAAAACTCAGGTTACATTCCTCTTGATACCAAACTCTTTTAGTAAATAAAATACCAGTGATTTTCTATGTACATTTATCGCTTTTACTTAACATTGTCATTGTTGAATCTCAAATCTTAGGTGCAAAACGTTAAGGGTTGTGCTAGGTACTCGATAAAGAACTTATAATTTTTTTATTAGAAGAGTATGACAAATCATATAAATCATTGTATCAATGCTAGAGCATTTCTTAGAAGTGATGCACTGTATGATCAAAATACAATTAAAAGCGTGCAAGGGTCGCTGCACTAGTACCCAGGTTTCACGTTAAATAAGCAAGGATTCTCACATAATGGATGGATTTGAGGAAAAAAAGTTAGTCTGTGATATTAATATTATGATAAGAACTTGAAATATAGGTACTCTAATAGGAAAATTAATAGAATTAGTAGATTTTATGTTTCATATGAAGATAAATTTCTTATACATTCAACAAACTAAATGGGTTAGAGAGAATGCTAAGAAGATTGATAGTTTAGATTTTAAATTTTAATATTCAAGTAGAAGTCATATTAGAAATTGTGTGGGTATAATTATATATAAGAGTTTAAAAGATAATGTTATAAAAATTAATAAAATTAGAAATATAATTATAACTCTAATGATTGTGGTGATACTAAGATTATTAATATTACAAATGCTTATAATCCTTATGTAGGTTTGGATATATGTTAAAAAAAAATTTTGAAATGGCCAAGACAAATCAATATAAAAGATACCTTAAAAAAAAATACTTACTATAGGAGATTTAAATGGATAACAAAGTGACAATAAATTTTAGAAGTATTTGTGGTGGCTATCATTTTGGAATAATCAATGAAAAAAATTGAGTCATATTGAATTGTATTTTAGCTTATGATGTTGTTATTAATAATACATTATCTTAAAAATGATATAAGCATATTATCTCTTATATGAGTTGATTTAATAAAACACAAATTGAATAGTTTCTTTAGAGAAAACTAGATAGTGGAGATTGTAAAGTCATTCCACTTAAAAGTTCATGAACCTAATATCAAATATTAGTTTTGATTTTAAAAAGAAAGATTGGAAAATGAAAACTACAACAAAATATTATCAAAAAATTAGATGAGATCACTTAAAATATACAAATAAAATTATTTTTATGAGTAAGCTTCAGGATCTTAATATTTTAGGTGTTCATAACAAAGATAATATTATCTAGGATAAAATAACGAGTACTATTAAACAAGTTAGAAAAGATGTGTTTGGATAATCAAAAGAAAAATCTCTTATGAATAAAATTTTTGGTGAAAAAATAATAATTTGCATAAAAAGATTAATAAATTTTTTGTAATGAAACTTTAAATGTTAAAGCTTGGAAAATTGGAAGAAAATATAATGTGACTCGTAGGAGCTCTGAGCAAATAATTTATGATGCTAAAAATTTTATTTTAGTAATCGTTAAACTAGTTATTAAAGAGTGTGATAGATATACGTATAAACTAACTAAGCAAAGAAAATAAATAAAATTTTAGTTCACGTAAAGTGTATTGAGAATGATAATAATAATTGGTTTTCATAGATGAAGATATTCCATGATGCTAAAAATTTAAAAATTTTGTTTTTAGTAATTGTTATAATAAATTAGTTACTATAGATTATGATAGATAAATGTATAAACAAACAAGTAAGGAGATAATAAAAATAAAGATTTAGTTCAAGTAAATTGTATTAAGAATGATATTAATAAGTGTATTCCAAAAATGAATACATTCTCTATAGATGGATGAGATATTTTGATGTTTTTAATGAAATTTGTGAAAATAATATTAACTTCAGTGATCTGAGTATCATAAACAGTAAGAATTTTTTTTTATTTCTAAAAGTTCAAGAGTTTTAAGAATATGAAATGTGAAAAAACACTAAGATATGATGATTCTAATAATAGTGTGAAAAAGTTTAAGATATCTGAGAATTTTTTGACTTACTATAAATTTTAATATTATTTTAAAATTTTAAAAGATATTTGATGAGTGGAGAAATAGTCGGTTGGTTATTTTTTTTAAGAATAAAGGGGATGCACAATAGGATAAATTATGGAGGAAATAAGCTAATCTATCACACAATAAAGCTACGGGAGAGAGTAATTAAGCATAAGTTACGATATGTACATAAATTTCTTAAAATTAATTTAGCTTCAAGTCGAGCAAGTATACTATGAAAGTTATACATTTATTTAAAGGTTTAATGGATAAATACAAAGAAAGTAAGGATGATCTACATATGATTTTTGTTAATTTAGAAAATGCTTATGCTAAGGTTTCAAGAGAAGTACTTTGAAGGGTTTTAGAAAATGGATGTCTTGGTAGTGCTTATAATTAAGTCATTAAAGATATGTAACAAGAATTGTCCAAGCATCAGGAAGATTGACCAAGTACTTTACTATTTCACTTGGATCACATTAGTAACCGGTTTTAAGCCTTACAATTTTGCTTTAGTTATGAATGTTCTTATTGGTCATTCATAGAAGAATCTACCATGGTGTGTGCTTGACACAGATGATATTATCCTTGTGGATAAGATTAGAGAGAGGAAGTTTAGGAAAAAAATAAATCATGGAGGCCGACTTTAGAGTTTAAAAGCATTCGTTTCAGTAGATCTAAAACTAAATATATGAAAAGTAATTTTAGTAACTTCAAGATCTAGTGACAAGGTTATAATAAGGTGATCCAGTCATTAAAATGAGTAAATGTTTTAAATATCTTGGGTCTATGGTTCAAAGTGATGGTGATATAGATGAAGAAGTTATTAGTAAAATTTAAGTTTGATGGTTGAAGAAGTGGAAGAATGCATAGAGCCTTTTGTGTGATATAAAAGTATAGCTTAAAACTTAAAAGAAAATTTTAATAAAATAGTGGTAAGATCTGTTTTACGACACATAATGTTGGTCGGTAAAATAGAAGTACAAAATTAAGTGTTGCTAACATGAGAATGCTTAGCTGGATGAGTGGTTTTAAGCTTAGAGGGGGAGTAGCTTCTGTGACATGCAATATTAGAGAGAGAAGCCTTAGATAGTTTGGACACATTAAACGTCGACCATCTAATGACCCAGTTAGGAGAATAGATGTTTTAGATTTGATTTATGTTAAGAAAGGTAGAGCTAAGCCTAAAAAGACTTGGGCATAATGTACACAAAATGATCTTAATTTACTAGAATTAAATGAAAATATGACATGCAATAGGAAACAATGGAGAAAAAGGATTCATGTAGCCAACCGCACTTAGTGGGATACCGGCTCCCAAATAAAAGGGTTGGAGTAGCTTTTGTGACAAGCAAGATTAGAGAGAGTCGCCTTAAATAGTTCGGACACATTAAACATCGACCATCTGATGACCCAGTTAAGAGAATAGATGTTTTAGATTTGATTTATGTTAAGAAAGGTAGAGGTTAGCCTAAAAAGACTTAGGCATAGTGTATACAAAATGATTTTAATTTACTAGAATTAAATGAAAACATGACATGCAATAGGAAACAATGGAGAAAAAGGATTCATGTAGCCAACTGCACTTAGTGGGATAAATGTTTTGTTGTTGTTGTAATTGTAGCCAAACAACCATGTGAAGTCTATAAGCCCAAAGCTTAGAGTTAGAGCCAAGATTGTAGCATTTGGCGTCAGTCCATGCAGGTCCGGACAATATGGCACTTACATTACCTAATCTCACTATAAAAAGGTTTTCATATAACGAAACATACTAAATCAGAACAACCATACGCCAAGCACTAGTTCAGTTCTATTGTCAAACAAAGCCTAGTTGGCTACATAATAAGCAAAAAAGGACTTACAACTTTCAAATCAATGTAGCTTTTCATCTCATGCAATTAAGGGTTAAGGGATATAAATAAAATTACCATCTGAGATCAAGACTTAGAATCACTTCGAAGCACAACCCATAAGAAAACTGAAATGAATAGTTAACAGCAAACCTTAAGTTTTTTTTTTATTATTATTTGATATGCCATACTTAACCCCTCAAATAGCACAAATGTGAGTATAAATGTTGTAAGGGTAAAATAAACAACAAACAAAGGCAGGAAAATTATATCATTGGCTTTGAAGTCAACATTTTAAACCAACTTTTTTGTGGCAGATAACAATTTTCACAAAAAACTAAAACCAAGTAATCCTCAATCATGATGATTGAAACGTATGCTAAGTAATCTATGACAACAATTATCAATGTATGAACCATTCAACAACATTGTTTTACACAGAAATGTAATTAAAGGATCAGAGGCAATACCAGCTTGGAGCTCAAACCTCAGGAATGAAATGGTAAGAAAAGTTCAGCGTTAGTCTAACGATCTGATCAAATGCCTTTGGAACGATCGTGCTCACACAGTTGTTATCGATTAAAAACTCTCTCCATTTCCACCATTCATTTCTTCACTTCAGTAGCTATCATATGTTAATTTCTCAGCCAGACTCTAAGCACTATTATCCGCATTCCTGACCTTAAATACTTCACTAGAACCAATGCAATCTGAAACCTGTTTTGGTGGACCTCCTCCATTCCCGAAAATCCCACCGAAGTGTGGTACATCTTCTTTCTCTTCGATATTGTTTAATGAAAACCTTTTAATATGCATTTCAATATGTTCTTTAGTAATCTTTGTAGTAGCAGCCTGTTTAGCCTTAGCTTCAGCTCTTTTCCTCAGTCTCTCTTCCTTGGAGAGAGCATCAGCTCTTAACTTCTCCTCAGCAGCCCGGACCAAAGCATCTTTCTTCTCCTTCTCTACCTCATCATATAACCTAGCCAATTCCCCTTCCATTTGTTCTCCCCTAGCAGCATCCTCCACAAGCTCCTTCATCTGTGGTTTAAAAACCACATTTTTGTCCATCAAAAGGGCTCTGACCACCACAAACAAATCATCCAATCTATTGGAATCACAAAATGCCTTTAACAGTACCTCATAACTCAAAAGGTCTCTCTTCACCTCCTTCTCCATCATCCGATCAAAAAATGCTTTAGCCTCAGCAGGATTCCCTGCCTTCACCAGCCCACACAGAACCGTATTGTATGCCAAAGTCCCAGGCTCAACTCCAGAATTAGCCATTTCAGAAAAAAACTGAATTGCATCTTCTATCCTTTGAGCCACAAAGCATGCTTCCATGAGAAGAGCAAAAGTATGTTCATTTGGTTTAACATCATGTTCTCTCATCTCTCTATAAAGCTCTTCAGCAACTACCACCATTCCATTCTGCCCAACCTTCCCTATCAAATTATTATAAGCCAAAACATCTGCAGTAATTTTTTTCTCATTTATCTTCCTAAAAAGATCAATGGCCTCTTTGAACATCCCTGTCGCACAATAACCATCCACCATCAGGGTAAAACTCTCCAAATTTACAGAAAGCCTTCTTGGAGGGCAATGCTCGGCCATCATCCTCTCAAACAAAGAAAATGACTCTTCAAACTTACCATTTTTGAAGAAAGCATCAAGAATTGAGTTGTAACTCTGTGCAGTAAACCTAAGCTGGGAACCTTCCTTTCCGAGCACAGAATCGTACAACTCCAATGCCTCCTTCTGCATGCCCTTCTTAAAATACGCCTTCATCAGACTCCCGTGAACAATTCCGCCAAAGCTCTTCAGATTTTCCCCCAGCTTCCCTGTCAATTCTTCATATAAAGCCAGAGCACCGTCCGGATCTCCACTATCAACAAGTTCAGACATGAGGAGATTGTACACCTCAATATCCGGTTCCATCAAAGTGTTCATCTCATCTTTTAGCTGCAGAGCTTCTTGCATCTTAGATGCACTTAAAAGGGCTTTAACTAAAATTCTATAGGTGGACGGAGACGGAAGGAGTGGGAGGTCACGGCATAAGAATCGATAGTAACTGATTGCGAGATCTAGCTTGCAGCTATCGATGTAAGACTGGATTAGGAGATTATGCGTCACGACTGAGGGAACGATGCCAGCCTGAATGACGAAGCGGTGGAGGGAGAGGAGTTCGGAGTGGAGAGACTCGTTAAGGAGAGCGGAAAGAACGGCGTTGACAGTATAAATGGTGGGGCGGCAGTTGGAGTACACGGAGTGCCGAACTAGGAGGATGGCTTCTTGGATATCACCAGATCGGAGGAGGGAGAGGATGTTGTTATGGAGAAGAAGGCGAGGGCCAGAGAGTGAAGAGGCGGCCTCGGGAAGCTTAGGAATGCTAGGGCTTGCTTGGGGCTTGCGAACAGGAGGCTGGTCGGGGGCCGAAGGACGCGGAATGTCGCCGAGGGCAGAAAGAAGAGGCATCCCGAGGAGACGTCGGCGTCGGCGGCGCTCAGCGGCTGCATCCTCTGGAGATGAAAACGAGAATCGATTGATGGAGATGAAGGAGCAGGATTGGCGGCCTTTCAGAGTGCGTGGGAGGAGTTTGAATAATGCCATTGTTTCTCCGACGATAGAGAAACTCCGAAGAGGGGAGATGTTCAGGGAAGTTTAGGGTTACGAAGCTTGACATGAGGTGTAATCAAATAATAAATTAAAAGGGATAATTATCCAAGTCATCAATGTGGCTTTAGCATTCTTCTTGAGATTAAATTAGCCTAATCCTTACAACTCTTTGGCTTATAAGCACAAAGTATAAGAAGAGGAGTGAGAGAAGTTTTGGAAAAGAGAATATTTCACTAAGAAAGGGTGATTACATCACTTGAATGTTGTGAATCATGGATGGTTCTTCGATGATACAAATGAGAAGAGGGGATGCAATAGTCTTCTAGAGTTACTTAGATTGCTCTCATCCATTTGATCTTTTCTAGAATTTTTCATCCCATGGTTGTCTTGTCAATTTCTTTAAAGTTGGCAGATTGTGACACCATTCTCTAATAGGGGGAGATTCTTATTTATAATCTCCTCCAAGTCTAAGGGATACATCATTCTCTTATATACATACATAACCCTAGATCTTTCAAGATTATTCTTGAGTTCTCTTTGGAGCTTTTCCTTCTAATATTTTCTAGAATGCAGTAGTCTTCTAGGGTTACTTAGATTGCTCTCCTCTATTTGACCTTTTCTAGAATCTTTCATCTCATGATTGTCTTGTCAATTTCTTTAAATTTGGCAGACTGTGACTCTCCCCACTTAAGCTCACAATGTCCTCATCGTGGCATCCACTTGATATCGTCTGTTTTTTTTCATGAATTTTCATGTCTAATTTCTTTTCTACCCACTTCTTCATTTATAGTCTCCTCCAAGTTTAAGGGATACATCATTCTCTTATATACATACATAACCCTAGATCTTTCAAGATTATTCTTGAGTTATCTTTGGAGCTTTTCCTTCTAATATTTTCTAGAATTCAATAGTCTTCTAAAGTTACTTAGATTGCTCTCCTCTATTTGATCTTTTCTAGAATCTTTCATCTCATGATTGTCTTGTCAATTTCTTTAAATTTGGCAGACTGTGACACTCTCCCCACTTAAGCTCACAATGTCCTCATTGTGGCATCCACTTGATATCATCGATTTTTTTTTTCATATATTTTCATGTCTCATTTTTTTTCTACCCACTTCTTCATTCTTCTTGCAGCATTATGTAATATGGCTCGAGCTAACTCTCTTTGCTCGTTTTAGGATTTGGCAAATTTGAAGAATGTTGGGCTTTCTCTCCCGTGCCTGGTTGTAGGGGAGAGGGGTACCATACAACAAGGTTTTATAGATAACAACTCGGTCTTTGGTTCCAGCTCAATCTGTTGATCTATCTTCCTCTTTGGTAGTAGTTTGTTTGATAATTCCAGACGTGTTGGGTTGACTACCTTCCTGACTAGGTAGACTTAGGTCTCAGTGGCTTAGGATGACGGGTTCATGGTACCCCGACCCAGCTACCTCTTCCTTCTAAGATTACTCCACCTTCCTTGATGTTGAACCCCTTTGAGTTGTCTCTCCTCTGACCTCGTTGATATCATCTTGATGGCCCATTGCCGATGAGTTGCCGCCCATTTGGGATACGACAATTTGTCATCTGCTCTTATGCTCTTTCCCACAAATTTTAAAACCCAAATTACTCCATATAGCCTTCCACAAATAACTCACAAAGTTTCTCATATCTAACATGTTAAAACTCTCATATTAGTGGCAACTCAAGAGGTAAACAATATATATGAAAATCTTGGAATTCTCTTATATCTTTAAATTCACTTATCTATAATTGCCTTGTGTCTGGTATTGACTTCTCAACTTCATGATTTTCTTAGAGAAAGAATGTTAGTATTGTTGATGCTTAATAACTGCAAAAAGATAGTTCGTGACACCACACCCTCAAACTCTGTAAAATGTTCATTACCTCAGACTCAATACCTTTTAGGGCAACCAATAATAATCCCGTTAGAGGCTTTCTCATGGGCTCAACTTGGATCACTAACATCTCTCCTTTGACTGCAAGCTAGTACTCATCTTCATTCTCCTCCTCTTGGCCTTCACCCTCTGCCTCCTCTAATGCACCCTACCAATGAAAAATATTATTCTCCTGGTTGGGCAATCTGATGTCATGTACCCAAACCCATGACACTTGAAGCACTGCATGATCGTGTTGGATTTGAGAGTACTGGTAAGCTACGATGACAATAATATGTATGTAATAAGGTAACTATGACAAAGTTGATTTTAAAGAGGTGGTACTCAAATTATTAGACGAATTAGGGGTGGTTGGAGGCTCGTATGATAGTCTCGAGCCAGTCCTTCAAAAAAAATAAAAAAATATATAAAAAGTTACTTTTTAATAAATTCATCCTATATCTAAAATGTTATCCAGGACCATGCATGTGCTTTCCTTTTCAGTGTAATTTTTCCTTAGGGGCACTTACATGCATTGCACACAATTCTTATACGTTTGCATATCTCCCACTAAAACTTTCATATTTATACACATGGTAGTCAAATTTTTAATACACATAAAAAATAACACTAATACCACTTTTAAAAGTGAAATATACCTTTTTATGTAAAGATTTAAAGCACCAAAGTGCTATGTATGTAAATATGAGAACTTAGAGGTGACATATGTAAATACATGAGAATTGTGTGCTATATACATAAATTTCCCTTTTCCTTAGCTTTAATTTGACCTTATCGTCGAAACCACCCCATCTCTCGTCTCTTTGAAGCTCCCTCTAACACTCGTCAAAATTGAGCATCAAAGTCGCATCCAATATTCGTAAAAGCCGGGCATTAGTAATTCTCTCTTTGTAATCATAGGATTTTTCAAATTTTAGTGGATAAGTTGGGTTATAAATTCGATGATCTCTATTGAAATATATTATATCTAATTTGAAAACCTAATTTTTATAACCTTGAGGTTTTATAATATAAATTAAATTTATAAAGTTTTTTTGCATTATTTTTGCTTGAATATTTTTAATCAAGAATAATGAAAAATTATTGTTTTTATATTAATAATTAATTAAATAAATAAATGCATCATGTCTTATTTTTTTCCAATCAGGTAATGTCTCTGTAACGTGTTGTGTCGTGTCTGTGCCTCCGAGTCCGTGACCGTGCTCCATAGGATTGAAGAAAATTCTGAAAAATAGTAGTCATTTTTTTTTTTGTTCCTCTTTGAAGATGAAGCGTAAAAAAGAGTTATAATTCAAAAAAAAAATGACATCCATGGTAACAAAAAAAATTTTGAGAAAAAGGATTATAATGTTTATACCCATTTTGAGTAGAAGCATAACTAACAAGCATATTGTTTGACTTGAAGTTCAAGTTTTTCTTGATTATACTTATGAATGTAAGTAAATACAATGCACTCAATTGGGCAACACCCAACAACAAAAGCATGAACCTACCACTGGATTGGCCCCAACCAGCCCTCTAAACAACTAAAACCTAAATTCTCCAACCATAAGGTTTTAGGAGAAGACCTTTTTTTGAAAAAACTGAATTGGGATATGAGAAATCAGTAGATTGGAGAGCGAGGAGACATTAATGCCATCTAAAAATAACTAAATATACCTTAAAAAATGATATAGAATAAAATTTTTAGATAATTACTCACTTTATGACATTATTTTATAAGAAATAAGGTAAAATAATGTCATAAAGTCCAAAAGTGTTCACAAATGCAAGCGATGTAGATGTCTGCAAATGCAAACGATGTGAACTTTCGTGGCATCATAAAAAGCTTGTAAAAATCCATCGAGTCAAAAAATTGCAACTAGAAGAAACTGATAGGGTAACTCATGTGTCCAAACAAACCAGTTATATAATTAGATTTCGACCTAAACGTCCAAGTATTAAAGAACAAACGAAGAAAGATTCCTCAATGAAAGCATGGTGAAAGACATGGTTTAAAATTTTATTTTCATGACTTATATTTTGGTTTTTTTACAACAAGTTTGTGCGCAACGCATAAATTTTTTCTGATAAGACAATGCGCCTGGTGAAAGTTTTATGAACTTTTTATTATTTCCCCTTAAGGAAAATTTGCAATTTTTGTTATATTTTTTTGAACTTGGATTCAACATGTTATATGATTTTGTTACATATGTAGCACTTAAAATTTGATATTACATTAATGTCGACATCTTATTAACAATCTATGTATGAAAATGTGCATTTCACTTTTAAAATGGAAGTGATTGTGGCATTTGTTTTAGATTTCACTTTTAAAATGGAAGTTATTATAACATTTTTTTGTTTGTGTTAAGGATTTAGGTTGTATGCTTGTGAATATGAATGTTTGGGCGCAAGACAAGTAAATATATAAGAATTGTGCGGTATATATGTAAATATACCATTTAAATAAGTGATGACGTTGAGATTTGGCACTTTTGTTTTGATGTTAAAGATTTAAGTGATATGCATATAAATTTGAATGTTAAGGTGTTACATATGAAAGTACATAAAAAACTATGTGATATGTATTTAAAAGTGACATATGTATAAGTCATGATGATGAAACATAACATTTTGGTTTTGATGTTTAAGATTTAAGCAGTATACAAGTAAATACAAGTAAATTTGAAAGTGTTGGTGTTAGATTCATAAATACATACGAATTGTGTGGTATGTATGTAAATGTATCATATATGTTAACTATGATGGTGAAATCGATTGCATCTAGTTTGACTATAAACATGTTGAATCAGGGTCCTGGATTACCTTGAATTTGAATCTGAAATGTTTCTCGTTAAAAAATGTATCGTAATTCATGTAGGATGATAAAATTTTTTTACACCATATCAATAGTAAAATATATCACATTAACCTTGAGATTTATTAACCATGCAGCTATAAAACCACAGAGCTTGCATGATAACAAGTTCAAAAAATTTTAGTAAATTATGTAAATTCAATTGAACTAAATTTTGTAAAGGTTAAATCCAAATTTTTTTGACAGCAAATTCAATAAATCTAGTTAAAAATTGTCAAATTATTTTACAGCTTCTAACGATAATTAAAATGTTGTTATATTCATTAAAAAAACAATCAATACTTGTATAACAAGAAAATGTCACAGCCCTCACCAGACCAAAAGAACCATCCTGCAATGTACTCTCCTACGGGGCGGCCACCCTTGGCCGACCACCTGAAGTTGACTAGTCGACCACCTCCTGTCAACCGACCACCTTGGTCGTCCACATTCCCCGCCGACCTGAAAATCCCAGAACATCATATATGGGCGAGGAAAAGACAAAAATACTAGTGCTACCCTTTATAATAAGGGTAAAAATGTAATATTGTATTTTCTTTCTTGTTAATGCTTTAAATAGATGACTTATGACATGTATTAAATGGTTTTTAAGCTCTCCTCTATCTGAATTGCCAACGTAGTGATATCACTTTCTCCTTCCCCTCTTTTATAATTTTTATTTTCTAAGGAATAAAATAGGCCTAAGAGTCTAGGAACGTCCCTCTTTTGCCCCCACAGGACATATCTCCCTCTCTCTCTTTCTCTCTCTGTGTCTCTTTCTCTCTCGCATTTGCTCTCCCTTGATCGCCAAGCTCTATCTCTTGGACACTCAAAGAACATATTTGAAATCAACATGACTAAACTTTGATTATTTTATTACTAGGATAAACATTAACGGTTAAATTTACTTTTTTATTATATTAAATAATAATTAATTATTCATAAAATTAATTTATTTTCAAACAATTTTTTACCAAACTAATTACTTATTAAACTATCATTTAATATTAATTAATAAAAATAATTATATAATATATTTATATTTAAAAAATTTATTCATTAGTTCATTATTAAATAATTACTTGGAAATTCATTTAATTATAATTAATTTGATAATGTATGAATTAATTATAATTCAATCAAATTAATAAGTTTAAAACTTAAACAAGAATAAAATAAAATCACAAATCTATGACAAATCTACTTCTTATCCTGTCTACATTCCCCTCCCGAATTCCCCTAGAGCCATTGCCTTTGTGAACGAACCCTAGCAGTACAATCATGGTTGGACCCATCTTTCTTATCCTTTTGCTTAGCTTCTACTAGAAACCATTGGGGAAGGTAAGCTTGTCCTTGCCATTCTTCCTCTTTGCTCTTCTTGGATTTAGTAAATCCTCCGCTGATTTAGTAAATCCGCGAGGGTCTGTATTGCAACGAATGAGATTTAAGTTAGTATGATTTTAGTAAATTCAATAAATTTAGATTTAAAAAAATTCTAAAAGGGTTAAATCCCAAAAACTGTTTTGAAAATGAATTTAGTAAATCTTTCGAAATTATTTGGTAATTTCTGTCCGGATTTAAAAATCTGTGATGATTATTAGACTTTAATAACAAATCAAAATAGAATTTACTAAATCATGTAAATTCGATTTCTTATAATATTCTAAAATAGACAAACTAAGCTCTGAAATTCAATTAATATTTAATTTCAAAATATGTTAATTAATAATAATACATTTACTTAATTAATTTTTTATTAGATTAGTTATTAAATAAAAATTTAACGTTTATAAAAGAATAAATAAATAGTTATTAAATATATTTATTAATAATTACTTATAAAATTATTGGATGAATAAAAAAGTATATTTATTTTTCATTAATTAATAATTATATAATAAATAAATTTATTTAAGTATAATTAATATGATAATATTTTAATTAATTATTAATCAATTAAATTAATAAACTTAACTTAAATAAAATTAAAATAAAATACATCACCCCTCCTTACCCGAAACCCTCGCCTCTCGCCTCTCGCCTCTCGCCAAACTCGCGATACAGTTGGAGAATGATGCTGAGGACTGGAGTCAAGCGACTTATAGGGTTAGGTGTTTTCCGCTCCCCGCCGGCGACGCCTGCGATAGCGGCGGTGCGGAATTATCACGAGAGGGTGGTGGATCATTACAACAACCCTAGGAACGTTGGATCTTTTGACAAGAACGATCCTACTGTGGGAACGGGGCTGGTCGGGGCCCCGGCGTGCGGCGACGTCATGAAGCTCCAGATCAAGGTCGACGAGAACACAGGAAAAATCGTCGATGCCTGTTTCAAAACCTTTGGATGCGGTTCCGCCATCGCTTCTTCATCTGTTGGTATGCTTCAAGAGCTCATTTTTTATGTGGTTTGTGGGATTATTAGGCTAATAAGTAGTTACTTTTTCTGAGGGAACTGAGGTTGCTTTGTGTGAGTGAGTATGTGAGAATATTTCTGCTTCAGTTTTAAGTTTAAGGTTAAGAAATTTAGGGGTTTTTTTTAGTTTACATTTAAAATTTTATTCATGCAGGATTTAGTAAATTCTGTAATTCTGGATTAATTAAATCATTAGGGTGTTAAATTCTGAAATTTATTTGGCATTAAAGTTGTTAAATCTGGTTAAATCCTGATAAACTGATATATTAATGTTTTTAAGGATTTGAAGTTTAAGTGAATATAACATTTTAGAAATTGCTCAGAGGTTGGTATTAACCTCTTGTAATCCTTAAAATTGGTCTTAGTTTCATGCTAATTAATAAAGTGGATTGTAAAGCCATTTAATATTATTTTCAAGAGCAACAACAACAACAACAAGCCTTTATCCCACTAAGTGGGGTTGGCTACATGAATCCCTTTTTTCCATTACGTCATATTGAGTGTTATATTTTCAATTAATTCTAATAGATTAAAATCATTTATGTACAATAAGCCCAAGTCTTTTTTGTTCTACCTTTCTCTTTACTAACCAAATCATTAGTTGGTCGACGTTTAATGTGACCAAACCATCTAAGACGACTTTATCTAATCTTATCCTCCACTGGAGCTACAACAACTCTATCACGTATATATTCATTTCGATTTTGGCCTCTTGTCAAGCCACTAATCGAGTTAAGCATTTACATCTTAGCAATTCTCAACTTTGTTTTATACTTCTCTTTTTAATGCCAACATTCTGCGCCATAGAGCATTGCAGGTCTCTCCGCTATCTTATAAAATTTTCCTTTAAGTCGAAGTGATACTTTTGTATCACACAATCGACTCGATGTATTCCTCCACTTCAACCAACCCACTTGAATTTTACTAATAACATTCCCATCCATATCACCATCTCTTTGAACAATAGACCCGATATATCTAAAACGTTCACACTTTTTAATGATTTGATCACCCATAATTGCAATTTTGCCACTAGAGCTACTACTACTAAAATTATATTTCATGTATTCAATTTAGATCTACTCAAATGAAGGCCTTTAGACTTCAAGGTAAACCTTCATAATTTAAATTTTTTTTTGAAATCTTTTTCTAGTCTTATTCGCAAGAAGGATATCATCAGAGATGCACCAAAGTACATCCACCTGTAAATGTCCAGTAAGTGCATCCATAACAAAAGAAAAAAGATACGGGTTTTAAAGTCGATCCCTGATGTAATCCAACTGAAATAGAAAAAATACTTGGTTAGTCCTCTTTCAGCTTTAACACAAGTAACGACCCTATTATACATATCTTTAATGACTTGAATATAAGTCATATCAACAAATTTTTTCCTCTAGAACTCTCCATAGGAATTCTCTTGGAACATCGTAAGTTTTTTCTAAATCAATAAAAACCATATGTATATGCTCCTTACTCTCTCTGTACCTCTTCATCAAACCTCTCAAAAAATGTATAATTTTCCTAGTAGATGCCCAGCATAAATCCAAACTGATTTTGAGAAATCTTTGTATCACGTCTTAACCTACCCTCTCTTATAATTTTAAAGTTTGACACATCAATTTAATTCATCTATAGTTTGCACACACTTTTGCATCCCCTTCTGATGCCCCCGCTGGGGCTGTTTCGAACTTGGTCCAGTTCAGCTCCAGCAATTCTTTTGATAGGCGTTCCATTTCCTCCTTTGTCTGGACTAATTCGAGCTTTCAAGCTTGGGCCAGTTCCTCATTTGTTTTATCAATGTGGTGACCATCCATTTTTCCAATGGACTCCCATTCTTTGAACTTCTCTCTTACAATTGGAATTAGACAACTTTCTTTCATTGCCTCGTGGGCTGCACTTCCCGGTTTGATAGAAGTCAAAGAGTAGCGCTCTTCGTTCTTAAAATAATATTAAAGAGTTTAGTAAGTAACAGAACTTCTAAATCTCTTAAATATTTTCACTATTCAATAGAGATATTATTAGATCCTACTGGTTTTACACCCATGGTTTTCTTTAAAGCCTCTTCAACTACTTTTTTTATCAAAGTGATGGTAAAAATAAAATATTTTATTATTTTTAACGATATTAAGTTCACTAAGGTCGATCATATTTTTAAAAACTTCATTGAAAATTTATCAATAATTTACTCACCTATGTTGAATATCTTCATTTAAGGAAAATACTTTTTTGATTTTTATCTTTAATGTAATTTAATTGAATTAAGTATTTACTTTTCTTTTCTCTTTGTTTGGCTTATTTATACATATATTTTTTACTATCTTTAGTATCTAATTTTTATAAAAATCACTAAAAGCAAAATTTTTAGCGTCACAAATTGTTTTCATAGACTCCCTACGATATTTTTCCTAACTCTCTAAGCTTTTACATTTAAATCAATTTTTATTACACAACTTATATTTTATATTTTATTTTTTCTTGCACATTATTATTCCACCATCAATTATTTTTATTTATAAAAACTTTCCTTTTCTTGCACATTATTTTTCCTTTTTTTTCTTATACTCTCTATGGGCTACCTTATATTTAATTTATTTTCAAGATAACTAATTCTTAAATTAGTCAAGTAGATTACAAATTAATGATAGATACTGGTTGCCTTCCTTATTTAACAGGATAATACTTAAAAAAATGGATCTAAAACATTACATAAGTGTGTGCTAGGAATTACATGTCTTAAAAGATTGTTTTTTAAGATTAACTTAATCCTTTTTAAATCTTGCTTTCAAGTTACAACCAAATAGCCCCATGTGGCCTTAGAAAAAAAAAAAAAATAGAAAAAAAAGAGCCCCGTGTGGAGTGCTTGGCTCAAGTAAAATCTTGCAAATCTTATAAAATTGTGTTAAGAATATCTTGAGGGTGCTAAATCTTTAAAATTACACGGCACAAAATTTATTTAATACAGAGAAATTGTGCTGGTAATTTGCCTTTTGCTATCTTGATGATAATTTAAATGCCTATGCAACATAATCTATTTAATCTAAATGATGCTGGAAAATGAATATAAACCTTGATTTGCCACACATGGTGTAATAGTTTTTAATTTGAGTCAATGTCCAATATCATACATAGTTCATCATTGTGACTATAAAAATGTCTGTGGTGATGGTGAGGGATGTGGTCTTTGTAGTTTCACGAACTATCAGCTGTGGGCTTATAAGTATGTGACATTGTTATCATCAAATTGAGGAATTGATAAATGGATTATTTACATATATACTACTCAATTCATATGTATTTGCACATCTAACACCTAAACTTCCTTTTTGACATTTGCGCCACCTTACCTATGCATGGAAAGCTGTAATTCACTTTTTAAAAGAAAGATATTTTGATATGGTATGAAAGATTTAGGTGTTATAAATGTAAAAAGCTAAGTCTAGGTGTTACATATGTAAATACATAAGCTTTGGGTATTATGTATGTAAATGCCCCCTTGATAAATCCCTTAATTTTCATCCCCTTATGTCAAATTTATAAAATCTTTCTAAAACCCCAAAAATAAGGTGGAAGTAAACAGTAGAATTTGCATGCATCAAAATAGCGTTTGGCAAGATTCAACCCAAATCTCTGTTAAATTACACTTGGAAACATTGAGCCGAACAGTTCCTTAGCTATCCAAAGTTGATTTTGTTCAATATTTTTAAAGTTGTACATGGTGAGTTTTCATTGGATGATTTTTGTTGGAGGTTATGTGGGTCTTGATATAGATTATTAGAGTTAATGCAAGTTTTTTCTTTTTTGGCCGATGTTTTTGTTTATGAAAAATGTTGCATTTTCTTAGTGCCAACTTATTTCTTTTGTTAATTACCTTTTTTCTTCAGCTACTGAATGGGTGAAGGGGAAGCAAATGGAAGAAGTTGTCTCCATCAAGAATACGTGAGGTTTTCTTACCTTTTCCATCTAGTTTTTTTTTTAATTATTTTTATTAGGAAGATTTACATAAGTCCATTTAATTCTTTTGTATTTACATAGCTAACCCCTAAACTTCAATTTTTGCTTACATACCACCTTAACTATGCATCAAAAGGTGTATTTCAACTTTTAGAAGTTAAAAGAGTGGTATTTTTTATATGATATGAAATATTTGGGTGGTATAAGTGTAAAAAGTAATGTTTAGGTGTCAGACAAGTAAATACATTGGAATTGGGTGGTATTTATCTATCGGCCCCTCATTATTAAGTTCATGTTCCGCTGGTCCTTTTCAATGTGCTTGATACTATGATACCTATGCTTATAAACATAGTTACAATGATGTCTAAAAAAATAATTAGAAGACTTATATTGCGAAATTTGGGAACGAAATATCAATTTGTCGTTAAGTTGACATCTTGATGTCACTATCCTATTATTTATTAATTGTTTTTCATTAATTTGATTCTCATTTAGCAACGATTTTCTTATATAATTAATAGAATGCAATTACATAAACAAACTTATGATCTTTAAAATGTAGAAGAATGACTTAAAATAAAATAAAATGGATGAGGGATCTAAACTATTGTATGATTGAATCATAATAAGAAATTGGAGTTATTCTACAAAGCGACCTATGGATAGTAGAATAAAAAATTATTGTATCTTAATTTAATTGTTGCATAATGTTATTACTTTGAACAACCAAGAAAGGCACATGCTTGTTATTTTATTTCCATTTTTGGCTTTCAATCATGATTTAATTTGTATGCAAATGACACCCACTAGCTTGTGTGAAACTTCATCCATTAATTTTCTTCAAATAGTATTAGCATGCAGAAAAGCACACCTAATCTGCTGGGTATCCGCTTAACTGACACCGGCGGATTTGTTAAGCGGGACAATGTGCTATAAGTTTGTTGGAGAGATGCAGATATCTTCTTTTTATTCTGTTAGGTTCAAATTCGTGCATTCAGCCAACCTCTTCACGCATTCTTTTGTAGTTGATTTTTTTTATATAATTAGTTTAGTGGTGATTGTGTAGAAAGTGGAAATTTAAAACCTTTGATTCTCCTTATTTGTTTTTGAATAGATAATATTTCTCTCCATTAGTGTAGAGATATGTATGTATATATGTATATATATACACATGCATGCATATAGATAATATCTAGCACCCGAACTTTAATTTTTACATGCATTGCACTTGAATCTTTAACATCATATAAAAATTACTGCTATTATTTACTTTTAAAAAGTTACGCACATCTTTTAATGCTTAGGTTTATCACATCAACATATTATAAATGCAATTATAAAAAGTTTAGGTGTTTGATGTATAGATATATAAGAACTGTGTAGTATGTATGTAAATTTTCTGTTTAATTTCTAGAGCATTGATACCTTTCATGCATGCATTCCACAAAATTGTGAGAACATTTCAATTTTCATCTATGCTACTTGTTTTACCAATGAATTTGCCAGCACCTTTCCTTATCTTGGTGTGCAACAATGTAGTATGCATCTAATTGACAACGGAATTTTGAAATAAAGATGTATAAGAATGGCTGTGTGGCTTTCTATTTGACTGTTAGTTGGAGGATGCTCAAACACATATGATGTTGGGGCATTTACATACATAACACTTAATTCTTATGTATTTAAACATTTAACATGTATACTTTGCTTTTCTACATCTATATCACCCAAGTCCTTCATATCACATAAAAATATCACTATTTTAATTTTTTTAAAAGTGAAATAGACATTTTCAAGCCTAGGGTAGGTGGCATAGATGTAAAAATTCAAGTTTAGGTGTTAATAAATACACAATAATTGAGTGGTATGTGTGTAAATTTTCCTATGATGTTTCATGGACCATGCAGAATAGCTTCTTGCTTTTTTACTTCCTTTTGATGCGTTAATATTGATCACTTTCGTTTGCCAGTGAATTAATTTTCTTTCAATTGATTGCAATTTCAAATGCAATGAATGCTGATTTAAAAATTTTTGCATTTCATTAGAAAAATAATTTCTCATCAAGTATAGCTTGATCAATGAAAATGTTTTAAGTGAGGACATTGAAGATAACCATAAGAACCTGTGAAATCTGAATTAATTTTCTTTAACCGAATTGATTTGGATTTTTTGTTTTACTTTGGGCTCTGTTAATAAAGTAGGCGATGAGTTTCCTTTGCTGTTGATTTATGGTCTTGTGTAGTTGTGATTTCTCATTCACAAGTTTGATTTGGCTTAATTTGAGCATGCTGATTCAACTGCTGGTTCTCTTTTTTATGTATTATTATATAATTGTGAGGACAAGTCTGTCCTAAAAACCACATCCTTTCTGAATACCATGCAATATTCTTTGTTTTTTTATTGGGGCAATTGCATAGAGACCACCCGAAACTTGCTTGTTACAAATTCAATGCCCTCTTTCATCCATTGTTGAAGCTCACTCAACAACAACAACAACAAAGCCTTAATCTCACTATGTGGGATCAGCTACATTGAATGCTTTTTCTCCATTGCGTCCTATTTATTGTCATATTTTCATTCAGTTCTAATAAATCAAGATCATTTTTTATTCAATAAGCCCAAGTCTTTCTAGGTCTACCTCTGCCTATCTTAACATAAGTCGAATCTAAAACATCTACTTTCCTAATCGGATCATCAGATGGTCGACGCTTAATTTGACCATACCATCTAAGACGACTTTCTCTAGTTTTGTCCGTCATAGGAGCTACACCAACCCTATCACAGATATAATCATTTCGCATTTTGTCTTTAAGTGTGAAGCCGCTCATCCACCTAATCATTCTCATCTCGACAACACTTAACTTAGTATTATGCTTCTCTTTTAAAGGCCAACATTCAACACCCAGCAACATTCAGCGCCATAGAGCATTGTAGGTCTCACCACCGTCTTATAAAATTTTCCTTTCAGTCTAAGCGGTACTTTTCTATCACACAAAAGGCCCGAAGCATTCCTCCACTTCAACCAACCTACTTAAATTCTACCATTAACATCCCCATCTATATCACCCATCGTTTTGAACAACAGCTCTGAGATATCTAAATCGTCCACACCTTTTAATAATTTGATCACCCAAAGTTACACTTCTGTCACTAGAGCTACTGCTGTTAAAATTACATTCCATGTATTCAGTTTTAGTTCTACTCAAATGAAGGCCTTTAGAGTTCAATGTAGACCTCCATAATTCAAGTTTTTTTTGGGCTTTTTCTCTCGACTTATCCACGAGAAGGATATCATCAGCAAAAAGCATACACCAAGTTACATCCTCTTGTAAATGTTCGATAAGACCATCCATAACTAAAGCAAAAAGATATGGGCTTAAAGCCGATCCCTGATGTCCAACAGAAATAGGAAAATATTTGATCAATCCTCCTTCAGTTCGAACACAAGTAACAACTCTAATATACATATTTTTATTGACTTGAATATAACTCATATCAACACCTTTCTTCTTAATAACTCTCCAAAGGATATCTCTTGGAACTTTATTGTAAGCTTTTTCTAAATCAATAAAAATCAAATGTAGATTCTCCTTATTATCTCTGAACTTCTCCATTATATATATATATATATAATTTTTTAACAAATTCTCAATAGTTTGATCGTGGCATTCATAAATACATCAGTTCGGTAGTTCAAAAAAATCACTTGGGTGATTAATTTGTAAATATCAATGTTTCAGGTGGTCTGTATGCAATTATCCCTTATTTATTTTATTCTTTTTACTATTTTCATTTTTTGGGGGCATTTTACATACATACCACACAATTCTTATGTATTTACATATCTCACACCTAAACATTCATATTTACACGCATAGCACTCAATTTTTTAATACCACATAAAAAATAGCACTATTATCACTTGTTCAAATTGAAATACACCTTACGTTTCAAGCACCACAGTATTATTTATGTAAGTATGAAAGGTTAGGTATGAGATATGCAAATACATAAGAAGTGTGTGCTCATATGTAAATTTCCTTTTAAAGTTAAATTTGATTGTAGCGGATATCACATTTATTTTGATATGATTGTAATGCAAGGCTTGATTTATCAATTCTATGTTTTATTTATCTCGAAGCATATTAAATGATTAGAAAGCCCATCTTGACAAAGTTTTGGTCTTGAAATGCTTGCCCAAATTTTCTCCAATAGCTGATGCCTTTAATTTAGATTTTTTTAAAAAAAAGGATCTTGATATTCTAATAAAAATTTGGTTGGCTGAGCTTTATAACCATTAAATAAACTTTGAGATGATTAGATTTGGGGCATTTGCATACATACCACCTAGTTCCTATGTATTTACATATCTAAGACCTATATTTTACTTTTTACATTGTAAAATTTTTATTTTATAAACTAGATATGTAAACACGCAGAAGTTGAGTGATATGTATGTAAATCTTCTCACCAATTTTGATTAGTTATTCATTTCATTCACCTCAAAGTAAATTCAACGATTATGAGTTAAAACTCATCATCATCAAATTTAAAACAAATGTTTATCTAGTTGGGATGTCGGAGAAATGATTCAAAATTACTAAATAACACTTCTGTTTTCAGAGAAATTGCAAAACATCTCTCACTACCCCCAGTGAAGCTTCACTGCAGCATGCTTGCAGAGGATGCAATAAAGGCTGCTGTCAAAGATTATGAGAAGAAGAAAAGCAAGTTGGGACAGAACAAGGAGTCTGCTTTAGAAGCAGGAGAGGAAACCGCCAATGCCTAGAACTCTGACCTGTAAATCCCTTCTCCTTTTTGCACTTTACTCCTGAACATAAATAAATATTTGCTTTGTTGCACATGTGGCCAGGAATTGGCGCAGCTGGATGAAAATTATGACCATATGATCTGGTAGTTATGTTTTTATCAGTGTACTGAACGGTAAATAATAGGTTTATGTGACGTTTTTCTGTAAGTTTGCTGATGAAATATTTATGACATAGTTATGTAAGACCTCTTGAATTTTTAAAATTCTTAGTTTTGTGTATTTGCATATCTCACACCTAAATTTTCATATTTACATACGTATCACTTTGATGTTTTAAATGCATGAAAATGTGGATTTGAGTGCTGTTTGTGTAAATATGAAAATTCAGGTGTGAGATATGTAAATATATAAGAATCGTGTGCTGTGTATGTAAATGCCCCTAAGTCAGTTTAATCAAAATAAAAAAAATAAGAAAGGGAAGATCTAAATGCATATCATCGTCAAAATAAAATAAGGGAAATTTACATACATATTACACAATTCTTTTGTATTTACATATCTAACAATTTTGATGTTTACGTTTATAACTCCTTGATATTATAATCTTATGCATGAGAAGCTGTTTCACTTTTAAAAAGTCGAGTCATAGTTGCATCTTTGATTTTATGTCAAAAAATTTGAGTGTCATGTAAATATGAAAGTTTAGGAGTTAGATATGTAAATATATGAGAACTGTGTGGTATGAATGTAAATGCCCAATGAAATAAATATAAAATTTGTTTTATTTTATATCAAAACATAAAGAACGTACCATTAAAAAAAGGAAGATTCAAATGCATACCATCCAATTCTTATGTATTTACACATTTCACATCGGAACTTTCAATTTTTACATATCTGCGACTTTGCCTACATATTAAAAGGTGTATTTCACTTTGTAAAAGCTAAAACTGATGAATGTTTTTTATGTGATATGGAACATTTGGGTTGTTTGAATTTAATAAGTAATGTTTACGGCCCGTTAGGGGCGGCTTATTACTGTGGGTGCATTTTGAAAACACTCTCCGACGTTTGTTTTGCGCGTGATGGTGACGTATCAAAATAATTTGATCGAAGAATGTATTAAACTCGGCCGCGGTTGAGGCTCTGTTAGCCCGCTGCCCCCGTGACTCTCCTCCGCCCTTTCGTGTCTTTCCGTCTCCTCTCATCTGCCTATCGCGCTTCTCCTCTTTTGTGTTTCGTCCTCCCTTCGATCTCTCATAACTGTGATCTGTGAGTATTTCTCCTCCATGGCCTCTTCCTCCTCCCTCCTCTATCGCGCTTCGTCTTCTTCTGAGCCTCTTCCCTGCAGAGAAAGCAAGGCGAGGTTCAAAAATTGACATGGTGCACAACAACAGTCGATTTCACCAAATTCGTGCCCATCGAGAGGGCAGAGCGTGCCCTAGCTGCTACGCACTCAATCTGCTAGTAGGAGCTTAAGCTCAACCCCATGTTGTTGATCCTCCTCTTCATCCTTGCCCTTATCCTTTCTCCTTCTTGCGAGATAATCTTTGAAGAGAGATTCGAAGGTGACTTCAACTTGCTCCTCTCTTTGCGAGAGATCCTTTTTTTTCCAATTGGAGTAAACTATCCATAATACCATAATAGTCATGTCTGCTTGTCTGATAGTGTTTTATGCTTTCTTAATGTTGAGCTGCAACCTCTTTAGATTTCGATGTTTTAGTTCTGATAAATTGTGTTTTATAAGATGTGGCTGTCATTGCATCTCTTTTAAAGTAGAATGGTTTGTTCGATCTCACACAATTTAAAGTGGTGTGTGGAGATCTCGAGGCATTTGTAAAAGGTTGAGCTAGAGTTTCATTTGATTTGGTATAGCTGAATCGGTGCCGTAACATGCCCTAATAGGCTAAAAAAATCACAAATAGGCTCAACCATGTTGCATGAAGCCTGTGTATGCTCAAATTTGCGAAATTGGATATCAATCAAGGTTGGGAAGCTTCTATTTTGGCCAATTAAACAAAATACATATTTGAGAGTCCTTGATGTGGGGCTTTTTGGTCAGATTTGTACTCATAGCTAGACCATTAAACACTTCTTTTTTTGGGGTATTGCATAAAACTTGAGTTGATTGACATTATTTGTACTAAGTTTTACTTGGTCAATTGAGGAATCCACATTCATTAGTGGACAATTGGATCCTTCGCTGCATGTTTCATAAAGGATTGCTTTAAGGATTTTAACTTAATATCTCTTAAGTGGAGCAAGAGCTGTTACCTCGAAACTCAACATTGGTTTCCACTTTTGAACTCAACCTCCATCACTAATTTTGAGGCTAACCTCTTTTATTTATTCTAAATCGATAGCCTTCCACGTTGACACTTAGCTGATCTCCTTTCAATCAAAGCTTTCCTTATCATTGATGCATAGCTGGCTTCCCTCACCGTTGCTAAATTGACCTTCATCATTGACTCTAAAACAATACCCATTACTATTACCAGGCTATCCTTAACCCTTGATGCTAATTTGGCCTTCATTATGGACTCTAAGATGGATTGTCTTGATTAGAACCAGATTAGGTTTTATTTTTTATTTTTTTTGGTGGATTTTCTATCACCCCCAATTTTTTCATCTGATGGTGTATAATATGCTTTACAACTTGCCACAACCAACTAATTAGTCTCTACTTGCTAGAAAGTGTGTAGTTGTATCAATTACATTATTTTAGGAGAAACTAAACTTTTAGTCTTTTAATGCTTATAATAATGGTTTATCATCTGGTTTGCAATTTCTTGTAAGCTCGTTGGTTTGAGTTTTATCCAATGTACATTGGCTTAAGCTTTTTCTTCGGGTCAGTTTGATTGTAAGGGTGGGAGGCAGAGAATAGAGACGAAGCAACGAGGATAAACCCTAGAAAAGGAGAGACTTTGCAGAGAGGCGGCCACAAGAACCACTAATTTAAATTCATTATCACATTACAACAACAACAACAACAACAACGCCTTAATCCCACTAACTGGGGTCTGCTACATGAAATCTTTTTTCTCCATTGCGTCCTAATCATTTCGCATTTTGTCTCTAATTGTAAATTCACTCATCCATCTAATCAGTATCATGCTTCTCTTTTAAAGGCCAACATTCGGCGCCATATAGCGTTGCAGACCGTCTTATAAAATTTTCATTATCACATTCTATTCATTAATTTATTACATGCAAAACTACCTTATTTATTAGATATTAAGAAAAGATCAAAGATAAAATTAAATTTACCAAGGTTAATATCTATCCAACCATGCGAATCGTTTCAACTTTTTATGCAATTTCTGGTAAGCTCAATTGCGTCCATTCGTTTGAGTTTTATGCAATGTACATTGGCTTAAGATTCTGGTAAGCTCGATCGCATTCATTCATTCGAGTTTTATGCAATGTACATTGATCCTTCGCTTAATCCTGCAATCAAGTTCATCCGAGTTCAAGGTAAAATGTGAATCAGATGCCTGTAAATTTACATGATTCAATTAGTTCTTTCATCCATATGAATGGTATTGTTGAGAAAGATCAATTTGAATAATTCTTTAATCCAATATAATTCTTAGGAGCTTTTACATTCATAGATTCATAGCACACAGGTATTATGTTAATCACACACTTTAACTTTATTATATGCCCACATGACACTTAGATCTTCAATATCAAATAAAAAATAGCATTGTTATAACATTTTAAGAAAGAAACACAACTTTTACATTCATAGACTCGACTGCCGATAGTGATCGGGGTTCGACGATATCCTTGGATGATAGTGTATATTGTGACATACTCCGTCTTGAGTACAAAATTAATATTATCATAATTTTAGTTGTAAATATAATAACTGTTTTTTTCTTTTTTTGTCAAGCTTGATACTCACTAATAAGTGAGGACTGTTTCATCTTTTTTTTTGTACCATTTTGTATTAATTTTCTCCTTCTACAATATCGAATATACTGCCAAGACAGTTTGTACAGACAACATTACTTAACAGGGGCAGAATAGTCATTTTTTCACAAACGACTGCAAATCAGCTATTTTCAAATAGCTGTCCCAAACAAACAGACAACTTATCTGGATAAGCAACTGATCAGCAGCTTGTCAGTCAGGATAAGCTGCAGCTGCCCCAAACAGACCCGTTGTCATGTAAATAAATAGAAGTTGGGTATGTAGGACAATAATTTACATTGGCAACGATTAGTGCACTATTATTTAACATACGCTTCACATTTTTTTCTCAGATTGTTCAGAATTGCATATGATAATTTTGCCATTGCTTTGTCTTTGTTGTAGTGATTCAACCTTTATAATAATTTGTTAGGTCATTTATATTTGTGATTATGTTCATTTGTTATTTAACATATACTTTGCTAAGAATATAATAAAATGATTATCTAATAATAATTTAATTGTTTATTTGATTAATTTTTATGCTATTATAATATATTTTTATATTTTTATTACTTTAGAAGTTATTTAAATTAATAGATATGATGTAAGCTATTTTAGTGTGTGGTTTGAGAGTTTAAATTTTTAAGCAAGTGATACTAGATTCAAGACATTGTATTTTGGTTGGCTTATTTGTGATTAAATTAACCCAAATTTTCTAAAAAAAAGTTTAATAGAGATATTAAAAATGTACTAATAATTAAATAGATGGTCAAACAAGAGAGTACTCGGATTTTTGAATAAATTCAAAATTTTATGCAATGCTAATTTTCAACAAATATTATTGAGCAAATGACAAAATAATTCTTTTTTTTTTCAATAAGAGTATATAGAGTGTCAAAATAGTTATTGCTATTTAAAATTTGAACTATAATAGTTCTCAATGAAGATTATTTCCGATGATTATATTGATATTTCTATAAACTCAGGAGCTAAATTTGTTTCATGTAAATAATCGGGAACTGTTTTGAGACTTTATTATCATATCTGTAATCGACAACTAACATTGATGAATATCATTGCCAACTATTTTTTTTTGCCAATCATACATTTTATTTATGCCCATCACCTTTCATTATATCTCAAAATTTTTTGCCATTCTCATAATAGATTAAGTTCTCAATCCATGATACAACATTTTTATTTCGGGCACGTCTTAAAATTTTGATTTTATTTCAATTTGATCAAATCTCTCAATATCTTATAGGATTTTCATGTACAAACTCTTACATCCACCTTAAAATCTTTAGCAAATAACATCTTGATAAATCTTACAACT